TTTCCCAAATTTCACTTACCTATTGAATAGATACCTTACTGATCTCCATGCTGGCTACTTTTCTCCTAAATTAGTTAGAAAATTATTTCTGAGTGTGATTTTTAGGTCGAGAATTTTGCATTAGTTGCCTATATTCGCTTAATTTCTAGATGGCTAAATGAATCATTATTTAAGAAATCAGCATTTATATTAGACTTAGGGAAAACCTTTAGCTTCATAGCTCTTTTTTGATTGGAGAAGCCCTAACTTGTATAGATACTAGCGCAATAAAGGCATAGACTTGTATCATTGAAAATGGCCATAGAAGTTCAGTTAGTATGACTGCTTCGCACTCCACCCACCCCAACCACTCTGGGGGTTGGGGTTAGTCACCTGAACTTGTGTTTCCTTTTAGCTTTCTCATTCCAAACTAACTGAGAGATGAGGAAACAAGGCCCAGAAAGGGTGAGTCTCACCCAGGCTCACCCAGACAGAGAGGGGCAGCAGGGGAGGGAGCCAGTGCCGGAGCCTCCCGCCCAGGGCTCTCCTAAGACTCAGCCTGCTTCTTCAGTCACCTTCATGGTTTGGTCTGAAGATTTACTAAGACTTTTTTGGACAGGTAGCAGAATGCTAAATTATGGAAGACAAGGAAGACTGTTTCCTGCCTTTTCGGACCTTCGTACATGACCTCTTGGCCTGGCTTCTAGTGGGTACTTCTGGGCACGGTCTGAGCAGCCCAGGGTGGACCTGACTCATAGCTCGTGTCAGGAAACTTCTGGTTGAATCTGGAGGAGGTGCCCTACTCTCCCCTGATCCACGGTGGGCTGCAAGTCACCTCTGCTTCAGTCTGAAATGATCTGTAGGAGACACGTTGCTTGGCAACAGTTTTGGTCATATGGTTGTGTTTGTATTAAGAAGAGAAATTGTAAAAGTTTAAAAACTAGTAAAGTGTATATATATATACATATATATATATATGTACACCAGTACAGTAATGATAAAAATGATCTACTATTCTATCAGAATGGGTTTCTTTGGATAGCTTTGTGTGTGTGTGTGTGTGTGTGTGTGTGTGTGTGTATTGATAACTACCTTTTATGTGTCTCCGAGTCTGCCTGGCTAGATCTCTCACCAATAACCTAGAGTGGGGGTTGGGGTTAGTCATCTGAACTTGTGTTTCCTGTTAGCTTTCCCATTCCAAACTTACTGAATTGTTTGAAGTTGAAACTTAACCCTTTTTTAAAAATTTCATTTCGAAGCAGCCTAGTTGGCTACTGAGAATATCAGTATTCCTTCAAGTTCTGAAGCAGGGTTTCAAGCAAATTCTGAAAATTGCTGTGTGAAATCCAGCCTATTTAGAGCAATACGAAGAGGTGCAAAGGTCTGCTGGCATTGATGCCATTTCCCCGTAGGCTTGTTTGATTTCATCATTCACACTTCACCTTTTTTATTCCAAGGTGACGTTTAATTCCACTCTTATTTTATGCACAGTAGCCACAATAGCTCACTTCAGATGTTAGCATCATCTCTAGGGATATCCTGTACATCTGGTTTGTAGCAGCTACATTCTCCCTCTTCTTTGGGAAGCAGAGAAAGTTTGTGGAAGTCCAGTCCCTGTTCCCTGCAGTAAACAGGGCTATTTCTGATCTTGGTCAATCTGCAGACCCTGACTTACATATGACCCTGAGTTATTAAAAACACTCCCCCCCCCCAGGCCTGTCTGGGTTATGTAATAGGGCCATGAGGCTGAACCAGGGACTTTGTGTTCAGAGCTGAGAACAGAGATCTGGTTTTCCAAATAACTCACAGTGTGGGAGGGGAGATGAACTCAGCCGCTGAGCTGTGGGGCACCATCTTCACCAGGACTTAGAATTACACTTCAAAGGGAGATACAGCGTGTTTCCAAATCGCCCTGCTTCCTTTTATGCCTTTTAGTCTTTCTTCTATTTTTCCCAAGATAGAAAGTGCCATCCCCTTCTTGATCCAGCTGTAGAGAATCTGCCCCCAAGCCTTGAAGGTCAGTCATGGGTGGCCTTGGCAAAGATAAAATCCGAGAGAGCATCATACCTCCCAGGGCCCGAGGGGCACTGAGGAGGGAGGAGGCTTTACTCTTCTGAGACTAAATCATGATAGCCATGTGGAAAGTCACAGCAAACTGGAAGTCACCCAGGTCTCATCCAGCCCCCCATTTTACAGATGGGGACATTGATGCCTCTAGCAGACATATCAGTGACTCGGGGTTACCAGCTGAGCAGTGGGGGAGGGAGGGCTGGATCCCAAACCAAAACCTGTGTGAGGGCAGAGGCCTTGTGGCCCATCCATTGAGCTCTCCTCGGCACCTAGCACAGTGCGCAGTGCATGGGAGGGCTCCGTAAATGTCTGTGGAAGGAAAGAGTAAATGGAATGCCTCTGCCTCCACATCAGCCTGGTGGCCTTGCCCTTCTGCTGAGATTTGACTATGTTTATCATCAGAAAAGCCCCACTGCCCCTGTTCCAGGCCAGGAGCTATCACAGGGCATGGACAAGACACTGGTCCCTTAAGCCAGAGAGTCACCCTGTGTCCACACAGCCAGAGCACGGGCAGTCCCCCAGAGAGGCCTCTGCCCATCCATCACCACCAGCCTGGCCTGGGCTGGGGTACCCTCTTATTGAGGCCAGATTGTGACTACAGTATGACCACATGGGGGGGGGGGCTAGTTGTTACAAAGATGTTTCCAGTTTATTTCTGCTTCAAGATCCATCTCTAGACCAATTAACAAAAGCAAAATGACTGCTTGGTTGCACTGGAAAATGCAAATACTTAAATCTTAATAAAGATTGGTTTAGTAAAAAAAAAAAAAAAAAGTTGTGGGTGTTGAAGAGGGATCCAGAAAGGTTTGGGAGCCCCAGGCTTGAGGATGGGGCCCCAGCTGCAAAAACGTCTGGTTGTAAAGGAGAAGGAAGACCTTCTGGTCACAGCATGGCCAAGCTAAGCAAATGTCATCACCTGGGACTGCCCCTCTGTGCCCAAGATTTTGTAAGATTCTGCAGCTGGGAGAGGGCAGATTCGGAAGAGAGAAAAGTAATCAAACTGCCTTTTCACAGGTCGTTGGTTCTCAGCGAGGGGGAGTGTCATTTGACTTTGCCTCCAGGGACAGCTCTGGGTCTGGTACTGCCCGGACTCTACACGCTATATGGCCAGTTAGTTGTGCTTCTTGAACGCACGGTCTCGGAGAATCCAGCCCCAGAAGGAGCCAGGAGGAGAGAGAGGTGAGGAGGGGTGTTTTGGCGGGTCAGGGGGCTTGTCACCTGCCAGGCTCCCCCGAGCCAGGGGCCGGAGCTACTCCGTCCGGCGG